CTACCAAAAAAAAAAAAATCACAAGCCGCAATTCATAGCAACAAGCAGCAGAAAAGCAAAAGATAAATATAGCCTCAGTAAATTCACGGCTCATGAAACAAGGAAAATGTATGAGAAAAGGAAAGATAGAAATTGCAGCTGAAGTCTGAAACATACCTTCTCTTTGATTTTCAAGAGTGGGAAAATAAAGCTAGTTGGAGCCCCTTTTATAGATGCAGGAAGAGTCGGGCAGCCTAAAGAACTTGTAGATGGGAGAAGAGTTTGAGTTGGGGTAGGAAAATAATTTTGAGTCCCGCTTGGAAACTTGATGTTGAAGTTTATTGGGAAATAGAATGCCTTCTCTGTCTGGAGTTTTACTGAGACTAGGATTTCAAATTTGCCTAAAGACTTAAAAGTTGAGATTTACATATGATGTATTTCGTTTGGGTCACGGACCTGGAAAAACAATTGATTCTTTTGAGACTAATTCCTTTTAAATCATGGAAAAATTATGGTGGGCCAATAAGTCATGTTACAAAGCCTTATTCTTTGTGCTGTGCGAAAATTCCCATGATGCTAGGAAAAATAATTAAGTCTCTTATTTGGGCTTAATCCCAATAAGCACATTGACTTGTTTGTTTTTTTTAGTACTAATGGGCCATCTTAATTATATTCAAAGTGAAGTACTAGTGGGCCATTTTAAGGTACATGTAAGGAATGTTTGACCTTATTAATCTCAAGCACATAAAGTTGATATCCGGATTCTGGACAATCAAACCCAAATCAAATCGTGACTTATTCACTCATAGACACGTTGTCCGTGAACAAGTCTCGAGGGGGCATTTGTAGACAATCAAATTTTGAGCCAATGAAATGGCTACAAGTGTCAAATTCCATGTCATAGTCAATTTAATAATTTTCTATTTTATTTGGGAAATTGATTAAATTTTAATTCCTAAATTAAATAGTTAATTAATTGATTATTTAATATACATTGTTGGCCAATTAAAGAATGCCACATGTATATTTTGAAGGCCAATTAAAGAATGGCACATGTCATTTTCTGGAGAGTAAAATAAATAATTATTTCTTTTAATAATTATTAAAGAGATAAAGAAGTGGAAATTCATGGACCAATCAAATTGAAGTCTTCTTTTCCAAGACTCTCTCTCCTAATTATCTCTTTAAATAATTATTAAGAGATAAATATTGGAAATTATGGACCAATTAAATTGAAGTCTTCTTTTCCAAAACTCTCTCTCTCAACACCTATAAATAGGGGCTCTCCCTAAGGTGAAAAAAAAAAACACAATTCATATTCAAGTCCACAAGTCATATTCAAGTCCAAGAGCTCTACAGAATTCTCTCAACGAAATTCAAGTGTTCTTGAAGATCCAAAGGCGTTCTTGAAGATCCGAAGGAAGATTCAAGCGCGTTCAAGTCCAAGACCGACGTTCAATCCGGAAACAAGCTGCCAAGCCTCCGAATTGCGTTATTCAAGTTCAAGTGTTTTGAAGATCCAAAGGCGTTCTTGAAGATCTGAAGGAAGATTCAAGCGCGTTCAAGCTCAAAACTGGCGTTCAATCCAAAAACAAGCTGCCAAGCCTCCGAATTACGTTATTGAAGTCAAGACCGACGTAAAGAAGATCAAAATCAACTTTGCGGAGAAGACCAAGGATTCGTGTTATTCACGTTCTTGGGAAATCACGACGTTCGATTCGAGATCAAGTTATCAAGCCCTCGAAGAAACGTTATTCAAATCCAATTTCAAGACCGGCGGAGATCAAACTGAGGATTCGTCTCCATAAGTCTCAAGTCTATTTGAAGATCGCTCTTGAAGAAATTAATCAGAGGAATAATAGAGATTTGTAATCCACTATATTTCATTTGATTCGTTGAAAATTCATTTGTACGAAGTTCTCGTGTTTATTAATTCAATAATTTTGCGTTACATACTTATTTTTATATTTTTGTTGTACATTTAATTTAAGAGAAATATAAATTAAATACATATATGAAATTTGGATATATGCAAATTGTTATATCAATTAGTTTAGACGTGAATGTTTCAAAAACTCAAACTATTGAGAAATATATTTTTACTAGTACAACACCCGTTTATTACATAGGTGCTTGTTAAAAAATTATTTTTAAATTTTAAAATTAATGAGAAAACTATATTAAATTTAGTTTAATTTTTTACAAAAAATATATATATATATATATATATATATATATTACTATATATTTTAGAATGACATGTGTTACTTATGACTTACATGTGTTATATTATATTAGTTTTTATAACTTATATCATATAACTACTTGAAATATAAATATATTAGTTGATAAATAATTTTATTTTTCTAATTAATATTAAAAATTATTTTATTATTATTATAAATATAAATATAAATTAATTTTTTATACATACAATATGGATGTTAAATCGAAGCTCATCAAAAGAAGATTAATTTGATATATTACATATGTAAAACTGATAAAAAATACAAAAGTTATTAACTTTTAAAATACATATACACTTCAATAGTTATAATAAGGAATGATATTAAAATTCAATTAATACATGTAACATGACCATAAATAATCAATATATTATGGTAATCCGAACCTAATTATTTTTGGTTTGGAATTAAATTAAAATTTATCCAAGCCTAATAACGAAGCATGTAATTTTGGCAAATAGGATTGCGAAGTACCAGAAGCAGTCACGTAGGCTCAACGCGTTCTGGATAAATAAAGGGAGATCTAATATGTCACTTAAATTACTACATATGTCTAAAAAATATTAATAAATTAAATTCTGATCATATCAGATTAACCACTTATCCAACCGCAGACCATTGAATTAAGTGAAAATCTTATTTTTACACAACATTTTGATAATAATTGCAATAGTACGAAGGGAGATTTTTTTTATGCAAACTTACCAATTTCATGGTATTTATTTGTGATATTGCTAGGATATCGATACCCCAAAAAAAAAGAAATCTGCTATCCTTAAATTGCTAAAGTAATAGCTTGCCGTTTCCGCTGGAAAAGAAAAGGTCAAAATATATGGTATATCCTAATATCTAGGATATTGTTCAATTACCTATATATCTAGGATATATAGGTATTTTTTCTTTATGAAATTCTTTTTTATTTACTTTTTGTGTTATTTACATCTCGTTTTTTCTGTGCGTTTATAGTATATTTTCTGATTTAATTTATACAAAATACATGATCAGGATTATATGCAGAAGATATACTCATTATATACAGACGACTTAAAACACACACAATAGATATACAAAATATAAATTAATCTTGTCATTATATACAAAAATATATACTGAAGATATACATAAAACACATTAGACCACAAAAATCAAATTTCAGAAATCAACCCTTTATTCTGCACACCCATTCTCTAAATATCGTTATCCACACACACATAAGGAACTTGTTTTACTACATAAAGATAAGGAATTTGAATTTCAAATAATCATCTTCTAAATACACACAAAATACACGATCACAGATTATATACAGAAGATATACTCATTATATACAAACGACATAAAGAAAATACAAAACAGATTACAGAAGGTAAATCAATTTTGTCATTATATACAAAATATATACAGAAGATATACAAAAAACACATTAGACCACAAAAGTCAAATTTCAAAAAATCAGTTCCTTTCTTCTGCACACCTAATTCTCTATATCCCATCATCCACACGTGCAGTCATCGGAGTCTAACATCGAGACTCAATGGCTTGAAAGCTCCACCACCGGCGGCAGTATCCCTTCAATCTCTACCGATCTGCCCGTCGTCATTAATTGTAGTTCGGATCTCTGGATCCTCGTCGGCGTTCTCGTCGGAAATATAGGGCACCTCAACGATCCTTCGGTGTACAGAATTACTGAGTTCCCGTCGGAATCCTTGGCCACAACCTCTTAGGAGAGGACGAGGTTCAACTTGTAGCCGGGTATTATCTTCCCCTGGCGAGCGATGACGTAAGCCTCGCCCTCGAGCACCTCGATCTGCTTGAAGAGATGAGGAGAAGAGAGTGGAATCATATAATTATGGGAGAAGAACAATGGCTAGCGGATGCGAATTTGTAGTCCATGGAAAAGGAAACGATGAGAAGAAGAGAATAGGTGAGATGAGGTGGATGAATGGAGGATAGAAAAAATGTAGTATGTTTTCTCTTGATACTAAATGGCACTAAATCCGCACTCTCTATAATTAAGTCAATATATTACATCTCACATGTTCCTCGTATTAGCGCAAATAAAATATGAAACTTTGTTAAATGTGCTAATTACTTTAACTAAGTCGTAAAACTGCAGTATAATTCATTTTACCTCATTCGAGGAATAATTTTCTCTTGAATTAATAGTTTACCTATTGGATAACCCAACAGATTCTCAAAACTTGATGTGAAAGGAATCCAATGGTGAAGGGCAAAATTGTGATATGTGAAAATCAAATTCATCCCAACAGTATTTCCCTAACTAGTATAGTTGATAGTAGTATGAATGAAACAGGCAAAAAGGCCCACAAAGAATAAAAAGAAGAAAAAAATATGTACAATTTTACAACCGACAATATTTGGCCAAATCAAACTTTTTAGAAACAAATTATTAAACATAACATAATAGCACAATGTCTAGGATTTTGCACTGATTTTAATTTTTTAACATCATGGAGCTATTGGAGCGATCGAAATAAAAAATAATAATTATATTTTGAGGTTAAATTATGAACTTTCATGTTTACATGTATTTAGTTAGATCTAACATGTCGAGGCTCACTTGGCTTACGATAAAAGATACAAGAAAAAAAAAATAAAGAAAAAATAAACTTCACCAACAAGAAGAAAACATTGCAAAATTAGACATAAAATAAGTATTCATTGATGAACAATGTTGGTCAGCAGCAACAAAACTTGGAAGCAAAGAGAGAGAGAGAATCAACCTTAAGCACAAATTAAAAATGATCTGAAAGCACATTCACAGGGAGACCAGCCACACACACACACACACACACAATCTCATACGCCTCCCTTGCTATAAATATGAAAAAATATCTATCGTTCTTCGCAAATACACTACTAATACACTGTATAACATATGAACAAGACGAATGGTACGAGCCACTACATGATTGATTGTACCTCTGACCGAGTAAATAGAATGATCCATTGAACTGCCAGCTAGCATCAGATCCCCAATCTCTTTCATCTTTCAAATCGGCAGTTAACAAGAGAACCAAAATCGAAAGAACCATAACAGAACTTTTGCAAGAATCTTGAGAAAATTGGCCTTTTTTTTTCGTTGATTTGATTTAACTTTGCATATTTGAATACGGGACATAAATTACGAGTATCTACTGATGCGTGTGACTATATACTTGCCTTTCTCTAAATCATATATGGTCTTCAGCTGAGGTTTTCGCCATCCCAGCATGAACCATGATACGAGTACCAAAAGGAAGAAAATTCCGAAGACGAGTGGTAATTTCGAAGAGTTGCCGCCTATTATGGAGACCGTCCAATCAGAATGGCTTCTCTCCAAATTTTCTGCACTTTGCAGGATAAAGGCTCCTAATGCCCAGTCGAGCGGGATATCGTGAACTTGGTTAGCATATCCAATTCTGCTCAAAATCATTCGCATGATAAAATGAGCAATAAAGAACAGAAAAAAAAAAAAAAAAAAAAAAAAAAAAAAAAAAAAACAAAAAACAAAAAACAAAAACAAAAAGCTGGAAAATGCAAGGGGTACTCAGAACAAACCGAATTACTTTTAAAGAAACCATATCTGTCCATTTTCGGTAAAAGAAAAGAATATTTTATTGTTACCTTGAAGACACTCAAATTTATGGCAAAAGTTATCCACTCTTTTGGGTTTGTGCACACCTAGAAATATGGTTTTTAATGCATCCTTCTTTACGTTTGTGTATATTGACAGTATAGAAGAAGACTTCATTATTTTACGTCTACGTAACATACACACTTACGCTAATGCAGAAACATACTGTGTAAACACCTATGTCAGTTCATATACACTAAAAAATCATCTTGCGTCTGCTAGGGAAAGGAAAAAAACACTGAATCAAATATATCCAAAACAGAATGTTATATAAACAATCAAAGGAATACACACTAAAAGCATACCTCTGGTCATCCAAATCAATTCCGAGACTATCATGAAGCAAGGCCACGATATATGCTGACGAGAAGCAATAACGAAGTAGGTCTTCTTCATCTAGAGATTTGTACTTTTGTGTCAATTTCAACCAATCGTCACCACAAAATTCATGCCCGGCAACCACCAGATCAGAAAGAGAAGCTCTTTCACCCAGCCGAAAGAACTAATTAATTGAAGTGAAAATGAAGTTACAAAAACAAAATCCAGACAAGAAAACAAAGTAAAGAAACAAAAAAAGGTCATGCAAAAATAAATTTGCTTCGAAACTCAATATAAAATCTCTAACCTTAGAAGTGTGGAAAAAATTTTCTGTCGCCAGAAACTTCCCTTGGAGCTTCGGTATAAACGTTGAACCAATGTAGCAGGTATTATAAGAACATTTATCTGACATAACATAAAAGGAGAATTATCTGACTAAAACTATAGAATATAATAATAGTAATAATTAAAAAAAAAAAAAAACAGAAATACCTTTGCCTTTTTGCAACAGCTTTAAAGATGCAGATCTGCACTCAGAGAAATTACCGCTTGGAAGCAAAGTAGATAAATATTTATTCTTTTCAACCAAGGAAGCAGGAGAAAGCTTCCATGCATCCTCATTATGAGCATATCCACTAGGAGTACAAGGATCCCTCTGGAGAGATTCCGCAACTGCATTAACAGAAACATTTAAGGACTCAAATAATTATAACATCCTAGTAACAAAATCATCAGGTGCAACAAATATGAACTAGAAGCAACAAATTTTCTGTCATTTCTGCTAAAAACAGACAGGTTTGGTCAAGATAAAAAATTCTTCATGAAAGCAGTGGACCATCTTCACGCACCCAATTCTTGGCCGCCCAACAAGAGAGATTCTTTCAACAACTCAAATGCAACATTCTGCAAAATAGAGCACGACTTAAAATATTAACTGAACTGGGTACCAGAAAATTAATTAACAAGGAAATTCTATCGTCTATATGTAGCTATCACATGTTTACAGACTACACAAGATGACAAACACAAGCCATAATGAATATTCACAAGAATGAATACGGATAATAACATACAGACTCAGACCTACTATGTGCCAGCAAAAAGCTTTGTCTAGAATTTTCTGGTAAGAATTCATTGGGATGATTTCACAGTTCGCTGCGCAAATGAATAGAACTATCAAATTTGCAATTCATTACCAAGTTGGGTGTGTACAATAGGTTTCGGGCTCAGCTACTACAGAAATTCATAACTTACGCTTGTTAGTATCCCTCTGTAGAGACCATACAGACACTAAAGAAAATATGCAATAACATGATCCTATCCATATTTGGGAAAATTAACTTCTAGGAATGAGGCAGTACACAAGTGAAGTTGCTAAAATAAAGATTACCTGGCCATATTGAAGCAAGCTGTGACTGTAAAGGTTGTACGTAAAATTCCCAAATTTGATTTTCCGAGAGAACTCAGGAGGCACCGGCTCATCCGAGATAAATGTAACCTACAATCTCCAAAATGTCAGATTCACAACAAGATGCATAGAAGGCATATTACCATCAATGTCTTTGAAGTTGAGTGGTCTATCTGTAGAGAAGTAGTATAGAGCAACCCTGGAAGGGCTGACGCGTCTCATAAAATTTCAACAGTAAAAACAACTTGTACAACAGATTACATAAGCAATCAGAGGAAACGGAGACGAACCTGAGCTGAAGCACCACCAAGCTCAATAATCCCAGTGGTCTGTGCTGGTTCGGCTCCAAGAGTTCCAAGGGCATAGTTAGCCACAACCCAAGCATATAAGCCCTCGTCAGATCCTAAATGAAAATTGAAGAGTTAGAATTAAGATCATCAAAAGAATGCGAAAACCTGAATTATGAAAACTACAAAGATCAATAGAACAAACTGCTACACATGTTGATTGATACAAATAGATAGCACACAGGGGATTAAAGATGGAATATCTCATCTAATTAGAAGTCATCCAGCAAACTAGGATTATTAAGAGTTGAAGATCTAGAAACTACATGGACCAGATTACATTTAACTTCTTTGTCAGAGGGATTACATTTAAAAGACATGGACAATGTGTCTTGCAGCAGTTCAAGAGGTATTGCGTAACATATTTTAGGGTGACAGCAGTGGCCTGAGATCTAGAACTCTCATTTATTTACTCCCCTCACTCCTGGATGAACTTAAAAGAAGAAAAAGACAAACACAATAAAAGAAAATAGACACAAGGATTGGTAGGCGAAACTTCTGCAACAAAATAGCATACACACAAAAGTAATTATTTTGTTCACAACAAACTAATGCACAAGACTCAACTTCGTTTCAAGCCTCGCTCAATATATCCTTGCAAAAGTAGAATGGAAACTCTAACTACGTAGATGATTTACACTCTTGAACTGCTGGGTTAAAAACATTTCCTTCAGTTTAATAAATCATTCATCAATGCCGATTAGAGATAACTAGATTAACAGGTCTACCTCATTATCAAATTAGAACACAAGGAAAAACATCAAACAAGGACATAAAACACACAATCAGATCATAATATCTACCTGGAATGACGGTCGCCAAATCATCATGAAACTTGAACCCGGACGCCCTCAAAACCCTCCTGCACGCATTCAAGATCCTCTCTTGATCCTCATTCCCCAACAACCTCATACCAGCAGTGGCCATCAACCGAATCTCTGTGTTCCCCCATTGATCACTCGGCACATTCCCTTTGGCAAACTGCACCAACTCACTAATAGCATGACCCGCCCCATCCGGATCATCCAAGTGAGCTGACAACCCAGGATTTACCCTCATCGACACCAATCCTTTATCGGTGAAGTCAAGCACCAAATTCCCATTTCTAACCTCGTACTTGAAGACATGGATTCTAGTCCCCGTGCTCCCACCATCAATCACGACTCCATATTTCTTGTTTCTTTCACTTTTGTTCCCGAAGAGCATAATGTAGCAAAATAGCGCGAGTCCCACAGAGATTGAAGTAATTAAACAAAATCTTGATCTCGGGTTTGAGCGTTTAACATTGGTGGATCGAAACCCGGGTCGAGCCGGTCGAAAGTGAAGCTTAATCGGATCCATATCCTTGACCTTATCCGAATTAGGGTTTCTTGAGCGTGCGTTCGGTCGGCGCATCAAACAAAGATGGAAACTTTGTGAACCATAGGATGATACTGGTGGATTTGTTACTGCAAAACTCCTATGGATCACAAATTTGTTGCGTTATAGGATTTTTTTTCTCGTACTCCTTTCCCCCCTTTCTTCAGTGAGGTTTGAGAATGAGAGGGCTTTTCAATCAATCTTGCCCCCTCTGATTTTCGGCTCTTGCTATCTTAATCCTAATGTTAAAAGCGGAGACGATGACAAAAACATAAAAAGAAAAATAAAAATAAAAAATAGAGGGATTTTCTCTATGCATCTCACGCACCTTCCAACAGTTCGAGATTGTATTAGACGAAACTACCCTTCCAGATAAACTTGGAACATTTCTCGATTTATGCGTGTCTAGGGCTGCAAACGAGTCGAGTCGAGTCGAGCATGGACTTTGTCGAGCATAGATTAAACTATTTTTTTCACTGCACGAGCTCGACGAGCCATGAAAAATGGAGCTCGAGTTTGACTCGTGAAACAAATAAAATGCTCGAGCTTGACTCAATGCTCGAGATTGACTCGAATTTTAAAAACTACATAGGACTGAGCACGAGTCGGTTCGGTTCGGAACAAAGATTTGTTAGGACCGATTCGGTTGCGGAGATCTAGTTTTTGAAATCTCCGAAGTTCGGTTTAGTTTCGGAGATTCCGAACTGAACCGAATTCCGATCCAGCTCGGTTCGGAGATTCAGTTCTAATGGGTCGTTTCGGACGGATCGTATATTTTGGAGATTTTTTTTATAAAATCTCCTAATTGCATGTTAGATGGTAAATATCATGGATGAAAGCAAATCATAAACCTCTCTTAATTTCAAAGATATTTCGTCAATTAATATTAAGAATATGTTAAAATAATTTTTTATTTTATAAAATAAAGTAATAATTAGGTTTTAATTGCAAAATATCATAATTTAATTTAAAAAAATTATATAATAAATGTTTATATGCCAAAAAATCCGCAAGTGATAAGACGTACATGAACAATAATCAATTTAAAGATAGTTACTTGTTAAATAAAAGGATACTTTGGGAATATATTATGTCCAAATAAATTAATCTTTTCCGAACGATATTGTGAGATTTGGATATAGCACATGTTAAATTTAGTTTTTGAAAAGTGAATATATTTTATTTTGTTAAGTTATAATTAATGTTATTAATAAAATAATCGATATATTCGTTCTTAATCTAATATTATGGTAAAGATATCTTTCATTTTATTTTTATTTTAGAATATATCACCTTTACATAATGATATAGGATATTATCTCCACAAGGCTAAACCGGCTACTGACCGGTCGAGGAAGTCGTATCGTGAGGAAGTCGAGGAAATCGAGCAGTTAACTAGTCGACCATCAAAGCCGTCGACCAATCTATCCTTCGACCAGATGAACGATCGAGCAGTTCAGTCGGCCTCAACAGGTCGACCACTTCGAGGACTTAACACTACACAGATCGGCCTAGTCACAGGCGCGTGAAAGAGCCTCTAACGGAATTTCAGGAGAATATGCATCCCATGTGCAGGAAGACACGTGTCGAGAACGCATTGGTGGATAGCAATAACCACCTCTGACAGCGTACCCCATGTGCAGGAGGACACGCGTCCAAAGAGTATTGGTGCAGGCGATAGTGGCGACGGCTCCCTCTGACACACGCGTATTATGTGTACGGACGGGCAGTTGGGGCAGACAGCTCACCAAATTCGGGCAGCCCTAGGTCAGGTATCTCACCCCTATATAAAAGGGGTGAGCCTTTCTTCTTCAACACGATTTCTCTACTATTCACTTCAATATACGCATACACATACTAACTTAAGCATCGGAGGCTCTTCACCGGACACAACCCCCAGTGTGAGAGTTATTTGCAGGTTTCTGACGTTCTACCGGCGAGGACAAGAACCGATCTACCCTAAACTGGACCAGGACGTTCACACTTACATTATTGGCGCCGTCTGTGGGACCCTCGTTTGAGAAGTTGTGTTTGAAGCTCAGCTATGGCGGACGGAATTCCTAAAAACTTGC